GTGGATGGATGGATAGATGAGTGGATGGGTGGATGGATGAGTGGATGGATGGATGAGTGGATGGGTGGATGGATGGGTGGAAGATAGACAGATGGGCCAATGGTTTTGTTAAATGTGGCCTCCCTGCTAGCCTTGCTTTCCTGGAGAGCAGAGGCTGTGACTGATTCACCTCTGAATCCTGAACCCCAACATAGAGAGTGCTCTGCAGGTTTTTATTAAGTACACACAATAGGTTGACAGGGAGTGGCTGGGGGCACGTGGCTTTCAGTAAACAGTGGTCCAGGGGCAGCCAGCAGATGTTGTTGAAGTGAGTGGAGAGGGGATGTTCCTTGCAGAGGGTTCGGCTGTGCTGGCCCTGGGCACCTGCCTTCCCTGCCCTACCTGGAGCTGAGAACCCAGGGGAGAGGTGCTGCCCGTGGCCAGCAGTCTCAGGGCCAGTGTGACTATGGGAGCAACCAGAGGAGAGTGCCCTGGGAGGGCAGCCTGTGAGAGCTCGGGGCAGGGCCCAGGGAAAGGGCAGGTGCGGGCCCTCCTGTCCTCTGTGGCCGCACCGCCCTATCTCCATGTGCGATGGAGGAGGTGGCGGGTCCTGGGCTATAGATCTTTCGTGATGAGCTGCTTGACTTGGGTTCGTGTTTCCACCTGCCTGAGCCTTGGAATTCTCATCTGTGAAATGGGTGTAACCAAGTGCCCAGGGCTGCTCTGCCCTGAGTGAGGTAGGTAACTAGAGCACCCAGGAGGGCCTGCACCTGAGGCTCTGCCCCAAGCACGCTGTCAGGACAGGTGATGGCCTGGCCCTGCCCCGGGGAAGCCCACTCTCCTCTGTCTCCCTGTCATTCATAGGAACATACCTGGGAGGGTGGACATGGGCTCAGGGAGGACACTGGCAGGAACCCCACACTGCTGTGTCACTGGTCTCCAACCCCAGGGCCTGGGTGGGCTGGCTCAGCAGGCCCACAGGCTCCTGGAGACAGCGCTGGAACAGCGCAAGAAGGCACAGGAGCTACCAGCCCTGTGTCACGCTGTCACACTCCGTGCAGAGGCAGAGTCTGAAGGGTCAGGGCCTCGTGGCCTGAGACAAGTGACAGAACCTCCCTGCCTCAGTAGGCTTCCTCATGATAGGTGCCTGGCCACACAGTCCAGCCTGGAGCTAACAGTCCAGGCCAGTGACATAGGCAGGCTGTCCTCCCGAGCCTGTGCCCCACAAGAGAATGGGGGCAGCCCCTGGGGCACCCCTGGGGGAGGGCTCAGTGACAGAGCAGAGCCGTGCGGGGCAGTGACCCAGAGTCGGGGCAAAGGGTCAGGGCAAATGGTCAGGCAGCGGCTCAGGCTGGGTCCTGGCTGGAGCCCAGGTGGCCTGTGGTGGCCCGTGGTGGCTGTGTGACCTCGGGCAAGCCACCGGCTCTTCTGCACTGCCCTACTTGTGAAGTGAGCATGGCAGCCCCAGCTGCTGTCTCCTGAGGTGGCCAGCAAGTCCCCCGTGAAGGAGGGTGAGCTTCGTAAACCGTCCTGTGAATGGGAGGGGGACAGAACACCCCACACCAGGCTCCCACAGGCAGAGGCCAGGCCTCGTCTGCCGCAGGAGCAGGAGGCCCTGGGGGAGGCACAGAGCCAGAGACCTCAGACCCAGGAGGGCCAAGAGGCAGTGGGGTGCGGGGATCTGGTGCTGGCCACCCTGATGCCATCTCACCTGTTCTTTTCCAGGGCTGTGTCTGGGGTGGACACCGACCCCAACCTGGTCCACATGGAAGCCCAGGACCTCAGTGGAGGTGAGGAGGAGGGGCGTGGCTGTAGGGGTCTCGGTGACCTGCCCCTGCTCAGCCCCAGCGGTGGCCCCGCAGGCCGACGGCGCCCTGTTATGAAGAGGCATGGTTTTAAATGTGCTTGTTTCCCGCTGGGGATCCACTGAAGCCAAGGAGCTCCGCTCCAGCGGAAAAATCTATTAAGAGGGTGATTTGTTCTGGCCCCTGAGCATCTACCTTCTGCTCACACTGTCCTGCCAGAGTGTGCCGAGCCTGCGGTGTGCGGGCTCCCCCTGCCCCAGCCAAGACAGGGGCCCGGCCGCCCAGCCCACTGGCCTCCTCCAGGGAGCCAGGGCCTCGCGTGCTGCTCTGTACCCCTCCAGGAGGAGCACTGAGAAGGGAACCACAGAGGGTCCTCGAGCCCAGGGTGTTTGAGCACCACTGAATGTTCTGGAACAACAGAGATGAGAGGACCATAGGTTGTACCTCTGTCCACCAAACGCAGATATGAACAGGACAGGCCCCTGCCTGGTGCGTGATGGCGCCAACAGGACGACCTTAGCAGCAGCAGGACCCACCTGGCGGGCAGCGGGGGCGGGCTGGGAGGGGGAGGGGGAGGTCAGGGCGTGAGGACGGGCCTGTGCTAGGTGCTTGCTGGCCGCGCCTGCCTGCTCACACCTGGCTCTCCCTTCTGCCGCTGGGCCTGTCCCTGTGCAGACTGGGCCAGGCCGTGTTCACCAGGGCAGGGCTGGTGGACAGCAGGGCAGCGGTCCCTGTGAGGACTGGGCCCCGAAGGTGGAGTCCCCATGAGACCCGGGGCAGGTGCCTCCCCGTCCTCAGCTCTCTGTGGGGCCCACCACGGAGCCGGGAGGTGGGCAGCAGTTATTGTGGGTCCCCTCTTGATAACCAAGTGGCCAAAGCTCAGAGGAGGCCTGGTTTGCCAGACAAGGTCATGGAGAATCCTCCCCCACTCCCGCCATCCTCTCTCGTCCTCTGGGGACTTCACCAAGCCCCAAACACCCTGGCCCCGTGCAGGTGGCACAAGGACACCACTCACAGCAGGGCGGGTTGTCCTTGTGACACCCAGCTGCCCACCAGGGAGAAAGAGGCCCACGTCCTAGAGGGGCCAGCCGTCCTGGCAGAGGGGCCACAGCAGCCAGCTGCACTTGAAGAGCCCCCGGGGTCGCCTGCCCCCACGCACCCCAAGACCCACTTGGCAAATGCCCCGCCCCGCCAGGCAGCCCTTCAGAGCCAGGCTCGCTGGACCTCGAGTCCCCCCTCCTGATCTCGCCCCCCCTCCCGCCAGCCTGGCCCACCAGAGGGCCACTCTGCACTCTCACGGCCCTCCCGCCTCCCCACCGTCCCCAAGGACCCACCCCCCACCACTCCTCTGTGCCTCACAGCACCCGGGGCCCTGCCTGGAGCTCCAGCTGGGGTTGTGGACCCCCGTGTCCCCGTAGACTGCTGAGTGCTCACGCCCTGCCCAGGGGCCAGGGCCACCCTGGGAGAACCTGCGCCAGCTCTGCCAATCCCCTTCCTGGCTGGACAGAAGGAGCCCAGTGCCCGTGTCACAACCGTGGTGACTTCGTGCCATGCTGCTCTCTCAGAGGAGCTCTCATCTCTACTTGCAAGGCCAGAGGCCCACAGGCGCCTCGCTCCCTGTGGGGGACTTCACTGGGCAGGCAGCACAGCAGGGCAGCGGGCACAGCAGGGCATCCCCTCCAACCCAGCAGCACYCTCACGGGGGCTTAGCTCAGGGGACACCAGGCCCAGGACAGCGAGGCCTGCCAGGGACGGGAAGAGCCGATGGGGGCGAGGGGGTGGGTGAGTGGGCACAGTGTGGGTGGCCTGGGACTGCCCCTGAGTCTGGCTCTCACTCCCCACCAAGTCCCTGCAGGCCAGCAGCCCTACAATCTGAGCTGGCCATGGGGCTGACAGGACATGGCCACCCTACAGCATGCTTGGTGGTTGGGTGGGGTCAGAGGCGCCCTTGTGCCTGCTCTGTGTCACTGTCCCAGCTGTGCATGGAGGCCCAGCCCTCCCTCTCTTCGTGGTTGTGGACGTAGGGTGTGGGTCTTCCTGGCCCAGAGAGAGCCAGCCCTGAATACTGTTCATGCCCCCCTGACACCGGGGCCGCAGGCAGGAGGTGTGCCCAAGGTGCTATGGCCTCCGTGTCCCTCCCTGGGCTGCAAGTTGGTGTGTCAGCCAAGTCCCACTCCTGGACCACCAGCTGGGAAGAGCGCCCCTCAGGCTGCAGGCTCCGAGGCTGTGAACCTGTGGAGCTCCCACACCTGGGCAGCTGAAGCCCAGACAGACGCAGGCGCCCGGCCTGGCCGCACTCAACGTGCCGCACGTAAACACCCGGGGAAGGCGGGGAGCTTTTGTTTTGAGTCGGGGATAAGCACACTCAGTGCCACACACTCCCGCCCCGCTGAGGTGTCAGGGCCTTTGGGAGGGTGGGGGCCCTGAAGGTCAGGGGCTGAGGGCCTGTTGCTACCCTGGTTGTCCCTACCCCTGGGCAACGGCTGGTCCCAGTGCTGAGACCTAATAGGCTCCTCTCAGCCCTCCTGGCCAGGGCGGCTGGGTGGGCAGCAGGTGTGACCCCAGGGCAGATCCTTGAAAATCCGAACCCACACACAGAACAGCCACAGCAGGGCGGGGTCGCCGGGCCAACGCTCGGTCGCTCGGTCGTCGCAGTCTGAATACTGGACACTTCATGGCCCTGGGTTGGCTCTCATCTCCTGCAGGTTTTCGCTACGTCACCTGCCAGATCCACAATTGCTCTGATAAGACACTAACAGCCCCGTTCACAGGCCCCATCGACCACAGCTCRCTGACCGTGCAGGACGATTACATCTTCTTTAAGGTGAGGCTGCTCCGGGCTCTGCAAGGTGGCGGTGGGCATGGAGGTGGTGGGACGCTCGGGAATGGGGTCATTTAGGGGAGAGGCCACAACACGGCTGCCTTCCTCCCAAGGGCTTCTCAGCAGGGCCACACCCACTGCCCCTGCCGCCTCCCGAGGCCCTAACTGCCAGTACCTGGGCTTGGGGCACTGCTGGTGCCACCCACCAGCTGCCCGCCGGAAGCCTCCCACCTCTGGCCCCAAACCCAAACCCATTCTGCCACTCGTTTCTTCAGTGACCCTGGGACACTCAGGGCTGCTCCTGGGCATTGCCCCTGACTGCCAGCCACCAGCTGTCCACACCCCAGTGACGAGGACTTGCTGCCTATGCCCCAGTGCCCTGAGTCACAGATGGGCCACCCTCAGCAACCACAAGGTCCGAGCCAGCTCAGAAACTCCAGTCGACTGGCCAGGCAGGGGGCTTCCCCAGGCCCATGTCCTCAGGCCAGCTGGCGCTGTCACCAGCTCACTCTGAGAGCCAGAGGCAGGTGCTCTGGCTGCGGTCACTGGTCCCATCTGCTCCCTGGGACCCTGTAAGCCTCCTGCTGAGAACAGCCTAGAAGGCCCCTAGAGTGTCCCCTCCCCCGAGGACTGGCCCTCCATGCTCCAGCCTTCTCTGGCCTCCTGCCCACACAGCGCGCGCTGAGGCCACTGTGGAGCTTGGGGTGGAACAGGCAGGGCAGTGCCGCCCCTACAGCAGCCTGAGGGCCTGACCCTGCCCAGCCCAGCCTCCAGCCCTGCCCGGTCTCCACTGCCCTCCGCCAGCATCCAGGCACTGGGCAGCAGTCCCTGCCCCTGGAATGCTGCGCTCTCCCCCCACCTC